GATGTTTGTCGTGTTTGTTTGATAAATGACGAATAAATGATTTCCATTTTGCTACAATTAGTTGGTGAAATCACTGCATGGAAAAATGGATTTACTGTATCTCTAAAAGTGAGGCAAAGTGGGAGTAAACACGACATTTACTCGGTTTTGTTTAGCTTTGCTCAGAAGCAAATGCATTATTTGTTATGGGTTTTGCACATAAAGCAAAGCCGGTAAATRCCGCCTTTGCTTAAGGTTTTCTCGCTACCGCAAAAACAGTGCATTCCTTTACATTTGCGCTAGAATTACACATAACTAAATTTATGCGTAAAGGGCATATTTGCCACACAAGTAAATACGGTCAAAACCGTAGCAAAATCAAATTTTGAAACAAAGTAAATCTATTTCAAACTCTATCTTTAGTCTTGATTTACTCACAAGGCAAAAGTGAATATTTTCGCATATTTGATCTATGAACARATGTGAATGTTTGTTACACATTTGCAACGGAGTAGAACGTTGGTAAAACTTTATCTTTGGTAGTGATTTACACCCAAAGCATATATCGAAATTTTCGCATATTTGATTCACCAACAAATGTGAATGTTTGTTACACATTTGAAACGGAGTAAAGGGGGGTAAACTTTATGTTTGGTTGCGATTTACTCCCTATGTAAATGTTGTGTAAAGATAATTTTTGCAAACTTTTGCTTTATTGTCGCAAACATCTATATTTACTCTTATTTGACCCTTTCACAAATTTAATGTTTCCTACATATTTGAAACTTAGCAAATCTGTGGTAAACTCTATGATTTACCCCCGAAGTAAATAGTATGCAAACTTTAATTTTTACGTAGTTTCACGTTAGTATTGTCAAAAATTTATATTCCTTGCATTTGACTTTCCATCAAACATATAACTGTTCTCTAAATGCTTGACACGGAATAAACAAAGTTGTAAACTCTATATTTAGACGCGATTCCCTCTCGGACGTGAGTAATACTAAAAGTRCCGTTTTGTTAAGAAATTCATTTTAATTCATAATTCATCGTATTAGACTTTTTAAACAAATGTTAATTATTTGATATAATAAGCGCAACTTCAGTAAATTCACAAAATGTTTAATAGTTGATCATGCTTACACTGAAATAAAGTATCTGTGCTAAAACTCTGGTTTTATGGCAAACTCTGGAGCGTCAATTGGGGCCTGTCTACGAGAAGRTGCCCCATTTCTTCTTTGTATACTCATACTCAGACTTTTCTGAGATTTTCTTCTTCGGCTCTTGCGATCTAGCGCCTTCATCACCTTGTTCAGCTCATCACTTCTCCAAGTGAGACTCTTTAATACGAACACCTTTCTTTTAACCACGTTCTCTTCATCATCCGATCCTGAACTTGAATCACTGACGTGATCATCAGAGGCAGACTCTTCGGACGACATAAAATCATTTGTCATCACCAAAGAGTACTTCTTCTTTTCTTCTTCGGTGATTGATGTTGATTGCTGCAACGCCTTCTTGCGACCAGCCCGTTTCTGTTNTCATATCATAATCCATTTTGCTCATTAATATATCTACCTTTAATACTTTTGAATGAAATGCCATGCCGGCTTGAATTTTATCARCCACGATCATGTTTCGGCGCGTGACGTTTATAATTAATTCAAACAATRACTTTTGAGCGCCAAAAGTAACATCGGTAAGGTTATACAAAATATTCTGAACTAAAAGCTAAATTCGGTTTTTGAATTCTGCAATAGCAATATATAACATTCGACATGTGACATTTATAGATCTCTTACCGTCAAGTCCTTCGGTAGGCGCTTAGAAGTTGGCTTTTGTGAGGCGCATTCCTTCAGTGCCAACCTCAACTGTTCTTCAATTCTTTGATTGAAGGCCTCTTGCTTTTTGAAATAATCCTCTAGAAGCTGATTGTTTATGGYTGGGGATTGCTGTTCAGTGCTTGTATTTGTAGTGATTGGACTTTCATCATCGGCGCTAGCTGGGGCATTACCCATGTCCGCAGACTCGGCGTTTGGCAAAAGAGCCAGGAATCCTGACCTTCGTTGCTCTTCATGGGCAGTAGTCGTACTCAATGGAGTAATGGGAGAACTGGATTAACTCCTATGTGACAATGGAGTACTGGCAATCGAGTTGGCACAACGTGGTGTAGAATCAGGAGTAGAATCAATGTTTGTTGGGCTGTCCGATTGTGGCTCTGACTGCTGCGAATTCCCTGAACTTGTCATAGTTTCTTGCTCTTCCTCTCGGCGTCTACTTCGCCTGTTTGGAGGTAGTCTAGCCATTTGGYATAGTATGTATTCAAAGACRCTTAATTCAACAAAAAAAATCGACGAGATGTTAACGCTCTTATAAGCCCGCAAGTTATAAGCATAAAACGTGAGCGGCCCAATAAATTCAAGTTTAGCGCGCTCTGTTTGAATGATCTTTGCCCAGCTCTGCCATTGGTAGATTTGCCAATATTTGAAAAGTGTGCTACTGCTATTGGTTGAAATTATACAGTGCATGTGATACGTACATGATCTTCAATGCTGATATATATTATGTTTGGTGACTCATATGATTGCTATTTCCCGTGAAAATAGTTGCGGTTTAACTCTAAAACCCATTATCACTATTTAATGCT